TGACCCCCTCTGTCCTGGTCAACTTTTATCTAAACCATTTTTTTGTAGATACCGTAATTTGGAAGATATTCGGATCCATAGACTAAAATGACTCACCCTGTATAACATATTATATGATATAAATTATAATTTTAATGAAAAATTCAAATTTCACTCTAAATTCAGATTTGAGTGTCTCCACGTAAGACAAATTTAAAGTAAGAGCTATTAATACGAGTTTCTTTTCGTTGGATCATGAGAACCGGCACGCATGGGATATCAGCAGCGCATACAATCATATGGTTGTTGTTATATCGATCTTCGTAACCTCGCAGATCCTCTGAACCGAAACGACCCGGAGGAATGTTGTTCCCGGCCGCCTCACCTGAAGAATCCGTACTGCAACGAAATCCTCATACCGGAGGACGATTACTTCTACCGGCTATTCAACGTTCGTTGCATGGACTTCGTCCGCGCTTTTCCCGCTGTTCGACCCGGCTGTCGCCTCGGCTCTCGGGTGCCTTTCAATCTTCTCACGGGTGTGCTGGACGGTAACACGGTTTACGGCATTACGGAAGCTTTCGCTAGGTATAATTTGAATGCAATGTCCTTAATACGATTCGTGATAACGTAAAGCGAAATGATCGTTCTCGATCGTGTTCACTTAGAAGATAGAAAATCTTCTGGTGTCTAAACTATATCTCATAAAAATTGTGGATTCTGGTTGGGAAATTTATGCAGATACAAATTAGAAATGTAATGTTTGGATACGATTTTAAGTTGAAAACCTAAACAAACCTCACTTGCTCTCCTCTCCTCATTTCTCTCTCTCTCTTTCTCTCTCTTCCCCCCTCTCTCTCTCTTTCTCCCCTCTCTCTCTCTCTCTCTTTCTAAAGATTTTTGTTCTAATTTTCATTTTATTAAAATTAAACAAATCATATGAAACACTTTGAGTATTTATACTTTGTGAGTAGGACTATTTCAAAAACGTAAATACTCAAACTGTTTCAAATATTTATTTTATTTTATTCTCTGAAAGTATACCGATTTTATCTATTAAAAGAACATATACTTTTTATTGTAATCCTGTTTCGATTGTAGATAAAGTATCTATTGGGACAAGAATGAGATTCCCAATTGGTATCACAAAGTAATTTTGGAACTATTTTGTGCGTGATAGAACTAATACAAGCATTCTGATCGGAACTTACACTACTTGAGGAAAAATCTTAATCAATTTTTATGCGGAAATTTTTGAAACATTATCGATCCCACTTACATCGAAACGAACGTTAATATAAAGTAACGTAATATAAATTTACATTAATATAAAAATTGCAGTAGTACAAATTAATATAATAACAATTTAAAAGGCCAAGCATTGAAACACTATGACGTGGGGATTAAGATCGAGGTTAACTACTTCCACATCAGCAACTTCAAGAAGAAGGCATATTCAATATTCGCGATGTATTTTCATAATTCATTAAATGCTTTTAGATTTTGCTTGATACCTGTCTTCTGTTCTTAAAGCGCTTAAATAAAATCTAACTTTTAAATGTGAACTGATTTAACCCAAAATAATATTTATACAAGTTACTTCCCACGTCACGTATACCAAATTCTGATCTCGTAATATAAATAAATAAAAATTTAAGATAAATAAATAAGTGTTTTCGTTGCGTTTCCTAGGAAACTTCGCACAGGCTACGGCGGATTGCTGCGGATGAACCCGGTCTTCGCGGAGTACGGTCTGAAGGATCTGCTGCCACTGAAGCTGGACATACCGGACGAAGGGTGCACTCGACCGAACCGAACGATGTATTGCTTCGAAGCCGGTAACTCAGAATCTCATGGAAACGAAAAAAATATCGCGAGAGATATTTCTATGGAGATAATCTCTCCATTGCGTGCGCTCGTTGTATTATTGGCTCCCGCGGTCGTGACAAATCAATCGCGTCGGCGATTGCCTTCGCACAACGACTTTCGCGAAGCCGGTGAACGCGGCGTCAGGAACGCGATTCAGGGCACGGGCTATTAGCTCGACTACATGTTCATTTGAATGCACAATGAGTGTACACGGCGATGACGCGTGAGTCAGCTCGTCGGATGTGGCCGCGCTAATGTAACTATTCTGATTTTCGCCGATTATATTCCGCGACCGATGATACACAATGGACTGGTAAGTCACGCTTGTTCTCGCTCAGCGCCGCTTACCAACTGCCTATCACTCCCGTACGAGAAAGAGCAAGAGAGAGAGAAAGAGAGAGATGGCCATGATCGACGCGATTGCCCCGTGATTTCGCGCCAGCACCCACGTCTTGTTCGCTCGCGACCAGGTAGAAATCATTTTCCCACGTCGCGTACAGCCGCGGAGACCGAACACCTTACGTTCTCGCGCCTACACGCCAACCAGGCCTGACCGGCCGGGGCTGCAGGTTTCGTGAGACGAAACAATTCGACGGCGGCGATAATTGTACGCGTTTATCGCCCACCGATTCATGTAGATCGCAGGCCTTTACCGAACCCAGTAGAGACAGGAACCGGTATGCTAAATCATAAATCGACCGAGTGTCGGTCATGCGAGCATTTGGCGTCACCGCACATACTTTGTACTCAAGTGAATCGCATATTAAAAAATCAAAAAAATTTAATGTTATATTACCGTTTTTAAACAGTGATAAAACGGTGATAAAGTTATCACTTGAGTTTTTCGGGATTTCGGTTAACGTGCTGAACGACACCCGCATAGAAATGCCCACGATTTTTCCAGACACAGTATAGATTCCGATTAGAATGCCCAAATTTGTCCCAAAATTGGTCCCATTACGGCATTAATTAAGAATTTCATTTTTGTCCTAAACGTGGGTTCTCTGTCTGGAATCAAAACAGAAGTACTGTACTTCTCGCTTTACTTCAGTCAAAATTCGTCAAGAAATTTTCTAAGATTTTCCCACATACAACAAAGATTCCAATTACAATGCACGAAATTTGTTTCTCAAAATTGCCCAAAATTAATTTCTCTCTTGATATCCCACTTTGATATCAATTAGAAATCTCATTCATGTTTCAAATGTGGATTCTCTGTCTAAAATTGAAACAGAATACTGTAGGAATTCACATAATTTTTTTCAATCGAAAGAAATACCCTAAATCTACCCAGAGAAGCAACATAGAAATTTTTCTGGAATTCAATCTAATTTCCCAAAAATTATGGAATATAGTTGGAAAATCTATGAAGGTTCGGATTAAGAAGTGTAATATTTAAAAAATGCGATTATAAGTGAAAAACCCAAACGGATATCATTTTTCTGCTGAATATTTCCTCAAAGTTTTCTTTCTCTCAATTTCTGTTTTATATTTATGTTGAACAAAAATATTTAAAACGCTTTTAATATTTACACACATTTTATAAGTACTTGAAAAGCGTAAATACTTCAAATATTTTGTTCAATCCCTTTTAAAATAAATTATTAAATGTTTTAATAATAAAACATTATATATTATAATTTTACTTTAAATATGAAACCTTAACATCACAGCAAACATTCAAATATGTATTGTAATTATTTACAATTAAATTACTTTGTAACGTCATAAACTAGTTACAATTACTAATAGTTTTCAACTAAAATATTCAAATTTATCTCAAAATTGGTTATCCCGTTACGATATTAATTAGGAAATGTTATGGAAACTTGTGCTTCTTCAGTCCCGTAAAAAATTTCCCAAGACTTTCCCAAATACAAAATAGACTCCGATTAGAACGCACAATTTCGTCTAAAAAAAGTGCGTTATTCCACGATACTTATTGAGTATCCCATTTTCGTTCCAAACATGGATTCTCGTTCTATAATCAAAACAGAAATAATGTAGTAACTTACTTTTTTCAGTCAGTAACATCGCCTTAGTTTACACCGAGCACTTGATACGCGTACCAAGTACAAGTACATCCGTACTAAATTGCTTAATACGCACGTATAAACGCTCATAAATTACTTTAGTGCGGTCTGGCTTGATACACCTGATCACGACCAAATAGATAGATATCAGACCAAGTTGGTACGCGTATTAAAGTTTCCAGCGCGCTGTAAACGCTTGGTTTGTTTTGGATCGTACCAAATCGTACATATCACTGTTGTGAGATTAGTTTCAAGTTGAAATAGAAAAGTGAAAATAGGCCAATTGTTGCAACTTCTTGATAAACTACTTAACAGTTAAATTATATGTCTGCCTTCGTTTTTTCTTCAAATTAGACAAAAATAAACATATAATTTAACTATTAGATAGTTTACCAAGAAGTTGGGACAATCAGCCCAATGTTATGTAAAAAAGATGCTAATTGGACAGAAATACGAATATTTCTTGAACTAGTTACAGAAAATGTATATATTTTAAAAGTATTTTAAAAATATTTTAAGTATTATCTTCACATACGTTTCATTATATTCTTGAGACGTTTTTCCCGACTCCTTGTTGTATATTTAAAATTTCGAATAACATTATAAATGATGTTATAATTTGTTCTACGTCTTTTTCCACTATTTTCACAATTATCGTGAAATTATCGATAAAAGAATGAATATCGCTGAGATGTTTAAAATTAATATAGAAAACTTTATCTAGATTAAAAATCTAACCTAACCTGTAGTTTTAAAAGAAATCGGTGTAAACAGGAACATATTAAATATTTAGTTCGCAACAACTTGAGGCGTATACAGTGTAAACTAGACTATTAGTACTTTTATAGTATAAAACAGGCTATCCTATTTTTACACCAATTATTATATATTCGATAGAATGGATATTCAAAAACAAAATATTTTTATAGTACTTTGAGTATTTTACTGAATAATAAAATTATTTGGGAAGTCGACATACTTTGTTCAATTTTAATGTAAAATGTAGACCAGAAAGAATATTAGGAAAACTTTGAGTTTTCCACTTCGTATTAATAGTCGTTATTTGAAACTTGCTTTAAGTGAGATACATAATTTTATTTTAGAGTTAGACCTGAGTTTCTCAATTGAATCGCGATTGCAAGTGTAATGTCACATGTATATATTATATAATTCAAATAAAAAACTCTTATCTAAATTCAGATTTGAATATTTCACGTAGGACAAGTTTAAAGTAACAACTATTAATACGAGTCTTAGACACATATATTTGAAACATTATACTTTTGAGCAGAACCTCTAATTATCTTAATAAATTGAATTAAATCCCAATTAGATTCCAGGGAATTTTCTATGCGAGTGTCTGCTTCTCTCTCTCTCTCTCTCTCTCTCTCTCTCTCTCTCTTTCTCTCTCTCTTAAACGATTTAACACGGATGAGAAAGGGAATGCTCGTGATACAAGGTCACCGACTTATACAAAGTCACAAACAGAGTGAGAAAAATGCGCACGTGTACGACTGCTTCGCGAGTTGTACTTGTTATCCCACTTATTGGCCACGATTAACGCGCAAATTAATTCGAAGTGATTGATAATCAAGATTTTTCAACGTAATCTATTAGCGTCCGATACACGACTCAGTCATCTATCTTTACTTTCAGGTGAGATTCGAGTGAACGAGCAGCTAGTATTGACCTGCATGCATACGTTGATGGCGCGAGAGCATAACCGGCTCGCTAAAGCGCTGGCACTCGTCAATCCGCACTGGGACGATGAGATTCTCTTCCAGGAAGCTAGGCGCATCGTCATCGCGGAAATACAACACATCACCTATAACGAGTTCCTACCGATATTACTCGGCAAAGACGTTATGGAGAAATTCGGTCTTCTCCTCGAGAAAGAGGTGAGTGAGATTGATGACTCGGAAATACACGTTTATATAAAAAGTAAAAAGAAAAAAAATACGCAAATACGGATTAATTACGAGTAAGTGCGCGATCTACCGTGGCGCAAATGAAGAGACTTTCACGAAGTCATCGGCGGACATTCGTAATCGCATGAATGAAAAGTCCGAAGAAACGATTAAGGTTCACAACAACATGCATTTTCTGTTCGTTTTGCACGGATGTCGACCATTTGCGGTGGACGTTGACTCAGTAAGAATTAATTTTTCATAGAAATACTGGGACGGATATGACCCGAGCATCAATCCCGGCGTAATAGATGCTTTCGCAGCCGCCGCTTTTCGATTCGGCCACTCGCTACTGCCTACAGCTGTGGAACGATGGAGTAAGGCGCACAAATTCATCGGTAAGCTATGTCGAATACGAATGTTTTCTTCATTTGCCTATTCTCTGGACAATCCCCGTATAGAATCCTCTCGTATATCTGGAAAAGTTTCCCAAGATTTTCACAGATATAGCAATTTCGCAATAAAAATATCTGAAATTTATATTCTATTCATGGGACTTCTTTTGTTAATAATTTTTTAATAAATAATGAGCGACGGTTAAAACCTTTTGATTGTGACTCAGGAGAGTCATTTCTATAATATATGTCAACATCAAGATCCCCTATTGGAGAATCCCCTATTCGGCATTTTTACCGCAATTTTAATTAGAATATTCAAAGAGTGCGATTAAGCGCTCATAGACGTTTCGCCTGATTTTGGGATTCTTAATAATGATTTTTTTGCATACGATTAAAGTTCACGTCGAGTTGATTCCAAAAAATAGATAACTCCTTATCTCCCTTATAGAAATTTAATACTGATAAATGATAATTTGACCAGTGATAATTACTGTCGTTCAATAATTTTATTAGTCATACGTGTAATAAAATTACGTGTAATAATATCACAGCCAGTGATATTTTTCTATAAAGGCTGAGCTTCTTAGCATTCTGTATTCTTGGTAGTTTCCGCGATTTCGACTACTATTACGATTTCCTACTATTACGATAATCGTACTGATAATCAACTATGGCCGATCACTGATCAGTTAAGATTTCATTGATAACTTTTGCATTAGTGTTGTTTTTGGTGGTAAACAATAAACATGCAGCGCATATTATAAGCAGTTGAATTTGTTACCACTACTAGCTTATACTTATCTTTGTTTACACGCCGCCATCTGTTGAAATTGGGACTTTTTTGGGTCATTTTTCTCGAGAACAGTATGAGAAGTTCAGGTTAAAAGGTTACATATTTGAAATCCACGTAAGCTTTAATTGTGAACAAAAGAATTGTCATTATCAAGGATTTCAAAATCAAACAAAACTTAGCTGCCCCTTTTGTATTAAAATTTATTATCTCAGAACGATATCGACTCCCAAGAATGAAAAATCCCATTTTTGTCATCTAAATATAAATTCTTTGTCTAGAATCGGAATAAAAATAAATACTATAGAAACTCGCACATTTTTCTATCGGTAATGTCAGTATATTTTTATGACACCAAACAGAGAATCCCATTTTTATATCAACTATTGTGTATTCGATAGAATAAGAAATCAAAAAAATAAAATATTTTAAAGTACTTTGAACATTTTATGGCACAATGAAATTATTTGGATAGACAACATGTTTTGTTCAATTTTAAAAATAAAAACTAAAAAATAAAAAAGTAAAAACTAGAGAGAAGAAGAATGTTCGGGAAAGGGATTATATGATTCTTTTTGAGATAATGAAATTAAAATTTGAAATTAATTAATGAATGAAATTAATTTTGAAATAATTAAATAAGGAAGAATAGGAGTTACAAATCAACACGCAGATGTAATAGCGTGATGTTAACAAACTAAAACATAAATTGTTAGTATCTGTCTTTACAGATGTACAGAGGAAATTTTTTTTTTCAATAAAATATAAACCCATATTTCCTCTATACATCTGTGAGAACAGACACTAACAATTTATATTTTAATTAGTTAACATCACGCTATTATATTTGCGTGTTAGTTCGTAACAGATCCTTACTCTTCCTTACTTGAATATTGGAGAAATTTTGAAGTCCCTACTGAGAATCTTATTTGAAACATTGCACTTCTAAATAGGACACATAATTATTTTGGGGAATCCGATTGTATCTGAAATAGATTCCAAGAAATCTCCTATAGAACTCCTCGGAGCCAAAACTTATAATTATTTTAAGAAGTCAAATTGGATGCTAATTACATTCCAAGAAATTTTCTATGGAAGCTCGCGCCGCCTACGATTCTCCGCGAAATTTTACTTCGAGTTTCTCTGACTAACTGCAAACGTCTTTTTCAGCTTCCAAAAGACTGTCGGACCTGATAAGACGTCCTTACGATCTATATCGCGCCGGTGTATTCGATGAATATTTTATGGGCCTGATGAATCAAGTCGCTCAAGCGATGGACGATTCGATAACGCAAGAAGTAAGACGCGGCGATTCGCGGGAACAGATGAGATGTGCGATTTTGCACCGCTATATTGCTGATCTTCTTTCAGGTAACGAATCATCTGTTCAAGAAAGTGGGAGCGAAATTCGGAATGGACTTGGTGTCCTTTAACATGCAGCGTGGTCGCGAGTTCGGTATTCCTAGTTATATGGAATTCAGGTGAGCCGAAATATCATTAAACTTTGTTTACATCAATGAACTTGTTATTACTGGACTAACTTTTAATTATGTAGATTCAGATAAATAATGTGTGATAACTTATGATTGATACTAATATTGAAATTAATTTTGATTACTTGCTCCTCAGTTTTCAAAACTTATTTAACGCGCAACATATGTATGATAGCGGTAGTTTTTCTTTCTATGTTCACATAAATAAATTAAGTCTGTTTCATACAATTATATGAAAAAATACATGGTGATCTATAGGGAAGGTTTTCCAAATGAAAAACCTTGGTAACGAACATCTTAATCACATTGAGAATTATTAGAAAATTATGATAATGTTTGGTTTCAAACTTCTTATCTTTCTATTATTCTAACACGAAAGTGGTAATACATAGCAATATATGTGTATACATTAGAGATGTGTAAATCAAAGATTTTTTATGTCAAATCGAATCGAATCGAATTGTTAAAAGAATTTTTAATTAACATAATCATTGAATTCAACATGAAAATAGTGACTTCAGATGAGAGAGATAACATTGATCATGTGATATCAATTCCTTTTAAGATAAAAGATATATAATATATAGTCGGTAAACGTGTATGGAATACAGTTCTAGCCTTAAAAGCTGCGCAACGACACATATCGATCCAACAGTTGTCGGTAAAAGTTTATCTAGAAGCCATTATCTTCTTTTAATATTTTTGAAGAAAATCTTAATGTATAGCAAACTTTTCAAGTCGTGCTAATTAATCCGTAAAGCTGGATGTTTTTAATACTTCGTTAATGCTAATGTTCGTATTCGAATCTTTTTGATTCGAAATTTTCGAATTATTTGGATTCGAATTTAAATCAAATCGAATTTCATTTGATTCGATTCGAATTCGAATAGTTCGCACATCTTTAGTATACATATAAAATTATTATTGCTAACACTATAGTAGCACTTACTACAAAAATAAGTTTTCTAGTTACAATTATTTCGCCATATTATTTACAGTCACATTTATAGTCACAAATGTTTTTTCCTCCGTGAAAATAAAAACTTTGTTAAGTTAATCAGAATTCAGGATACAGACTGGTTTGTAAGATATGAACAAATTATATTTTTGGTTAATGTAACCAAACTAATTTGGTTAAAGCATTTGGTTAAAGTAACTAGACAGACAAGTTATTTTAATTAAACTAAACTTTTTTAATTGAAAGTTGTTTCTTAAAGTATTAGCGCATAATTTCGCTTGAAATTTAATTGATTTGATATTACATTGTACTTGAAAAACTCGTCTCTTTTTATCCAGATGGGATTCGAACCCACACTGAGAGAAAAATGTATGATATTTGGAACTATAATGGCATAGTAAAAAGATTATAGTTAGGAATATCTTTTTTATAGTAAATGTCACCATAATGTTTGTAATATTTACAATATAAGCATAGTATAACTGACTCATGTAAAACTTTTACCAAGAATTATAATTATTTGAAATAAAAAACATAGTAAGGTAGCAAATATTAAATGGTAAAAGAAATATTTTATATAGAACTATTTTATATAGTCAATACAATTGGAATATTTGGAAAATATTACATGTAACTATATTCCCAAAGCGTTTTACTATATATATAGAATGATAAGATGGTGACTATAAATGTGTGTTCATTCTGCTATATCTTCGTGTTTAGATGAACTATAAATATATGTTTGAGGCCAAAACGAACTATAAAATATAGTGAGATTATAGTTATTCCAACTATTTTTTTCTCTCAGTGCAACGTCTTCGGATTGTAAATTGTCTGTTTATGTACAACGCTACTTCCTTAATTGATAGATCCATTATATATTGTCTACATGTTGTAATTAACGTTGAATACCAACATATGTGATTATAATAATCAGAAATTATATTTAGTTCAATCAACTGTCGTTAACCAAACATATCACGTTCATCCAATCATTCTTTCTAATCATAATAAGCAGATACTTAGATGTTATAACTAGATCAGCAGTAACTAAATTCTGACTGTTGTCAGATTTAAATGTTTTGGGTAGCTACTAGAATATTTCATTGTAATAACCATAAATTCTGTTTACTTCAACTAAATCTTAGTTAACCAAATATATCACGTTAATCCAACTGAGTTTGTTTCTTCCGTGCATTCATGAATCGATAATTCCAGGAAGTACTGCGGCCTGCCAGGAGCGGACAGCTTCGAGGAGCTGTTCGGCTCCATGCCGAACGAGACGATCAGACGATACAGCACTATTTTCGAGTGAGTGTCGCACGTTCGTAAGACGGCGAAACCTTCGGAATATCGAAAAGCCGATCGATCAAACTCTCGCGTCTCATTACTCAGTCAGTGGGCCGATCACGCTGTGTCTCTAAAAATAGCCTATCAGCCGGAGATAACGGCTACACCTGGTCGCATTGCTTTCAGACATCCCGCAGACGTCGATTTATGGTCAGGCGGTGTATCCGAGAGACCGCTTCCGGGTAGCATGCTCGGGCCAACCTTCGCCTGCGTGATCGCCACGCAGTTCAGTCATTCACGTCGCGGCGACAGATTCTGGTACGAGTTGTCGAACCAGCCATCGTCCTTCACTCTTGGTAAGATCCCTTTCGAATTGGCGAGAGTCGCGCGCGCACGGCCGCGCCACCCAAGGACTCGATAATCGTTAGTACAGAACGAAACGGTACCTTTTCAAACCGCTCTCTTGCTTTCACTTTTCTAGAACAACTGAACGAGATCCGAAAGACAAAGCTCGCCCGAGTGATCTGCGATAACACTGATCTCATCGACACGATACAGATCTATCCCATGGTACTTCCTGATCACGATATGTAAGTTTCAGCGGTCTCGTCGTAATCCAACGCGAGTGTCCAACCATAAAGTAGCGAATTTGCATCTAACGTAACCAGTAGTATAACGCTTGCTCTTTCTTATGTGGCTAGATAAAGTTGAATATGAATATTAAATTACAAATTACATATCAAATCGCAGTTATGAAATGGAAAATTATAACTAGTTGGCAGTCAGTAATATAACGCCCACTTCCTTTTCTTTTTATGATTTTTATGAAATCGCGTAAATTGTGTGATTTGATTAAATTTTTATTTGAAAGAAAAATATTTTGGATTTGCTATATGATGTCAAAATTCTAGTGATGGTATATGGTACCTGAATTATATATTTTAGGATAGACAGAGAACGTTATCTATTCTACCATATTTGATACGTAATGACTAGGCAACGGATAGATCACAAAAACTGCTATTTTACATTTCAATGAATAATCAACCAGTAACGAACTACTAATGAACTAAAAAGTTTAATTTAGTCAGCTAGTAGTAACATTTCTATATAGATAGGACTAACTTTTCGCTAAAGCCTTAAAAAGGTTTAAAAAAAAATTAACTTCCGCCTGTTTTCTCGCTTTTCTTTAATAATCTATATTTGGACTTCTCTAATAATCTGAATTTTAATTTTTCAATCGTGTGGCCAGAAATCCTCGGGTCCCGTGTCGAACCCAGATTCTACCCAGCATCGACTTGTCGAAATGGGCTGATTTTCCGACGACGAGTCATAGTGCACAATACGTGAGTAATCTAGCAGGCCAGTACAGGCAGTTCGGGAAATAAAAGAGGGTCTTTTTCACCACTCTAGAGAGATAAATAGAGTGCTCCTAGGCGAATACCATCACCACCACCATCACCACCACCACATAACTAAGCGAGTCACGAGTCGAGAAGCCCAACCCTTAGGCACTCTAACCCGAGACCACCCCGTAGGCATGCACTTATTAAAATAGGGCAAAAAAAAGAGTAGACTTCAAGCTTTTAAGATGGAACGAGTAGATTTTCGATTGAACCACGTAGAACACGATGAAGACAGAGCACGGAGTTGGTGTCGATGACATACTCGATCCGTCGTTTCGGTGGCGCGACAGTCGTTTCGACTTTCGCAAGTCAAATTCGTGATGTGATACCTTGATAAATACATCGACCTGAATGAAACCCTGATAAAATCTCGTGAATGTTGATACGGATTCTCCATAATTGAACACTCACTCTTTCACTCTCACGCACAACTATGAGCTTCCCAGTATCATGATTATTTACCACAGCATGTTATTTAATGAATACATAGCGTTCTATTATTCTGTGCATATATTCGCAGATGTGACTCCGCTCGTATATAACGCGTCTGGAAGTCTATTACGAAATCCGGTCATAGCCTGTAATTATATTGTTAAGTCATGTACATTGATCGTATAGATTGCGCTCATTAGTATCTTATTATCCGATCCTTTTCATATATTAAGGTAGTTGTATCACATGAAATGCGTTTTATGAAAAATTTATGAAACTAGCACTATACACAGTGAAGTATTTACTTGCACTATATACACAGTGAAGTATTATTTAACTACTCGTGTAATTAAAAATTACTGATCATTCGAATACTGAGATATTTGCAACTACAGTTAACACTTTTTACACGCATTCTTTGAAGTTAGCATGTTATTTTTAATTTGTAATATCTTCTAGATATCTTTTTAATTTTTAATATCTTCTACACACACTACGTGTAAGATTTTTATGAAAAGTTACCAGAATATTAAAAACTTATGTACAGATATTATACACAAATTTAAGAATTAACTATTTTGTTATTGATTAATTTTGTTAATATAACAGTGAAAAGTTTATAATTTATGATAATGCTCAAATAATATATATACATATGCATGTTTTAATACTTATTTATCTCTTTTTATTATCTATTAGATATCTCCATCAGATAAATGATGCATAAATAAGTCAGAAATATAAAAAATAATAATTTTTTCGTATTTGTAATATTGTGTGTTTACACACACACACACACACACACACACACACACACACACACACACACACACATACATACATACATATGTAGAGCATAGCCCATTTAACTTTTTACAGCTTTATACAGGTTCTCAGAAATTAAGAAAAATATGAAAAAAGTGTTTCCAAGAAATGTTATAGGATATCGAGCGGAAAAAAATAATAATATTTATTTGACCTTAAAATAATATTGAAAACCCTTCCCCCCTGTCAAAGTCAATTTTAATTTTTTAAATGGAATTATATGGTTTTTCGACATAAATTGATTTCTCTAGTCATTCTGCGTACGAAAGTACTAGAATAAAATCGAAAAGTAAACGATTTCCGAGATATTTTATATTTTATTCTGTCATTGTTCAATATAAAATATGAAATATCTTGTAAACTATTCACTTTTCGATTATCTCACTTCAATACTTTTATACGTAGAATAACGAGAGAAATCGATTGGTAATATTAATCTTTACACATTAATGCATCAATAAATTTGCAAAAAGCACGGAATATTATTTAAAGTTTCCGTATGTTTTTCTTACATCAATCGGTTTTACCGGTCATTCTACGTATAAAAGTATTAAAATGAAGTAAATAATAAAGTAGTATTAAAAAAGGTAAATAATTTAAGAGACAGCTCATATTTTGTATTGAAAAATAACAGGATAAAATATAAAATAATGTAAGAAGTATTCACTTTTCGATGATTTTATCTGAATACTTTTGTACACAGAATGACTAGAGAAATCGATTTATGCCAAAAAAGCCATATGATTCTATTTAAAAAATTAAAGTTGACCCGGACAAAGCTTCTCAAAACCATTCCAAGGTCAAATAAATATTACTATATACTAATAAATATTACTATAAATATTACTATTTTTTCTTCTATAACTTTTGTTGGAAATACTTTTCATCTTTCTTAATTTTTGAGTTATCGAGTTGTAAAAAGTTATGTGGGCCATCCTTAATTTCGTTTCAAATTAGCAATTGTGATAGTGAAATAAATTATAAAATTATTTCATTATAAAATTTTGTTTGATAAATAGTGAATAGTAAATTTGTGAGCGTTCTCCTTAATGCGTCACCGCGATAATACAGAACCTAGCGATACAACTACCTTAATCGTCTTTTATGCGACACGCTCAAAGTAATTTTTCTCAAAGCCATTATGATTACTTTACTCTCGACAAAATATCACACGCTCGATTCAGCATTACCCATAATACCGTATAACAACAATACACCCTTTTGTACATAGTAAGTCACAATCAAGTCGAATCATTATTCGCACGTAACCGTTTGTCACAGTCCCCTCAGCGTCATGGACCATTATAATGTAGCAGTGCTTAATATCTAGTCCTCTTTACTCTGTGAAATAAGTGTCCCTTGATTTCTAGAGCAAAGTACGCCAAAATTGATTTTAATGACATTCTGTCTCGTGCCTTTGAAGATACAATTGAAAAAAGGTGTATCACACAGTCAATTACATATATATATACATATAAAAATCCCCATCTGTGCGTTCAATGCGAAGCGCGATCATTTGACTATGTATTCTCGATTGCGGTTACGAATGGTATTTATTTAAGTCGAAATCGAAACTTTTGCCATTTGGAATAACCGCACACTACTATGTGGAATTGTAAGTGCCATCTTTTTAAATGATACTTCGAGCAATAAAGCTTTTATTATTGTCCTGTTTTATGTTTCGCTTGTTTCTCATTCTCGTTCTGCTACGACATCGTTTATTGTGAAGGAACTCATATTCGTAAGCTGGAAATGCAAATCGATAGGGGACAGCATTGTTCATGTTTTCTAAACTTCCTTTTAAACTTATCCGATACATATATATGCATACATAAATTGTATACGGAAAAAACAGTATTGTTGGCCCACATATAACATGATTAGGCTAAACAGTCCCAATAGTAAAATACAGAACGACTAATTATATGGTCGCTGTAACCACAAACCAATTACTAAGTTGTACCGACAATATTTTGTGGCTCTAACTTAGAGTGGATCCATGGTAAATGTCATCCTAACCAATTTCTGATTGCCACAACTAGATCACGCGCAATTACATTGATATAGTTGTGATATACCAAACGAACTGAATCATATCACCAAGTCATTACCATCACACAAAGATAAGTAACGTGATGCAACTCACAATATCTCTGGTTATATGCACCATATTTTTTTTTCCATTTCATATTTTTTATGTACTTATACACACACTGAGAGAAGAATTTAGTAAATATTATCAAAATTTGGTTACTTTTACTAAATGATAGACGTAAATATAGCGAGCCAAAGCTATGGCAAAACTTATTAATTAATTTAGTTCTGTAAAATAAATTATTTATTTGACAGAAGTAAAATTTATTTGCTTCCAGAATATATTTGGTAAATAAAGCTTATTGAATAGTTGAGCAAAATAAGCGATTTTGTAATAGTTACAAAATTTTTGATAGGTTCAACCAACTACCTGTAATAATAGATATTGAAACGATGTAATAGCTGCAAATGAATGAATTTTTCGTTGTACTGCAACAAAACATACTTATATTGGTAACAAAATAGAACTCATACCTACTGAATTTTTTATTATATGGGATATAACGATTTCATAACAATTATCAAATATCTGTTCATAACTGTAATATATTTCATGTTAAATATTTAACATTAAGTAACTATTACTAAATTATTTAATTGATGTTACTGTGAATGCAATTACGTCATACTCCCGATCTATTAAATATTTGGTAATTATTATCATATTTAGTATTAGTTACTAAGGACTCAATGAATTTCTGTAACTAAATGCAGTTTGTTATAGTTACCAGTCTTTTCTCTCAGCGCCATTAATCGTACTCTTCTTATGCTTTTCGCAACACATATCTCGCGTGCGATAAAATACACGAGAGCTCAGTTTGCACTTCATTAACGAATAGAAGTGCAAGCCAGCGAGAACTCAAACATGTGTTAAATGAAACTTTACCAATTATTCTTGCCGCCTATACATCGTTTCGCATTCCCAGTTTGCGTTTGTCCCAGGTATCCCGCCGATACCAAGTGAAGTATTGCGCGCAGCGGTATCGTGCACTCAATACCGCTCTCTCAGAATCAGATGATCGCGTTTGTAATCCCGGAATACGTGATCGCACCCGTATTTCGTTCTCATTTCATTTTCTCACTCCACATCCCCCCACCGCCAATTATCATGCACCTACATCAAAAGCTACAATTACCTATTGTACTATAGCAATGGGTGGAGGAGCAATTGCTTGACGTGCTGGGACAGCCGGTGAAACCGGCGATGGTACGGGAGCACTACGACAGGCAGCAAGCTTACCGAATCTTCTTTGAGAATATTAACGGCATTGCTTCGTATCTGGGCTTCACGAGAAAGTAACGTGCACCGGGGACGGCAAACGCCTGCTCGTAAAATATATCCACATCCGCCATACGTCATTGCTGCTCTCTTTCTCTGTCTCTAAAGACACTATCGAGTACATCACGTGAACATGAAAAAATGCGGCAAACTCGATCATCGATATCGATATACGTATCCTTATTTATAACGGGATGTATACGTATGTATGCGTAGTGGTATGCATATATGCGTAGTGGTATGTGCGTGTTGCGTATCATTGTACTTATGAAGTACTTTTTTTCTCTACATAAAAAAGTCAAGTACATATCTACCTAGAATTGCATGAAAATTTCCTAGGATTTCCTCAAGATATAGCATAGATTTTAATTATTATACCCAAATTTGCTCCAAAACTAGTTAACTCACTGATACCAATTAGGAATTCCATTCTTGTCACTCAAACATAGATTCATAGTCTAAAATCGAAATAGGAATACGCTACGCGGGTTGTTTGCGTATTTTCTATGTGACATATATGTTACCGGCAAAGTGAGAAATCTGCCATTGTATAGAATACCTAAGCATTACATATGAAATACTTAGGCATTTTATATGTAAAAATTGATAGACATTCTGTAGAATGCCTATATTATCGGCATTATGTGAAACTCTGATATTGTATAGAATACTTAGGCATTCTACAGAATATCTATTAATTTTTATATATAATGTCTAGGTATTTCATATATAATGCCTAAGTATTCTATATAATGCCGAATTTCTCACTTTGCTAGTAACACTTATACATTACAAAGTTTCACACAATGCCAATAAGATATACACGGTCGCTTTTCATGTAGACAATGTAAATTATGTAAAATATTCTAAAGAAAATATTGTGTAGAAAATTATATTAAGATATACAAAAAAGTAAATACAAGATAAAATCTATTTTGACTATTAATTATAAATGTAAAAGAGATAACAAGTTGCATGAAATTTTCACTTTATTATGTGACAGATTATTAAATTTAACTCTCTGTAGGCAAGGATGTAATCAAAGAATTCTATGAGCTCTAATTTATTTAACAAACAACGTTCATAAATTTATACCAGCATTCTAAAGATTAAATAAAAATATTATTTTTTCTTAATTTTTTATCAAGCTATAGTTCCTTAAACGACATCCACATATAGATTGTTCATTCTCTAGATAGATGTCTCATAGTTTACATTATCCACATAGTTTACGTTGTCTATACGTAAATGTAGTGGATCATAATTTACGCATAAACGCCTAACCCTGCTTTTTTCCCGTCGATATCCACAAAGAAATTTCCCCATATACAGCATAAATTTCGATTAGAATACTCAAATTTATTTCCAAATTTTTATTTCCTGATTATACCATTATGATACAAATTGGGAATTTCATTCTTGTTCCAAACATGGGTTCTCTGTGCAGAATCGAAACTAATACTAAATACTAAAATACTAGAGGAATTCACGTTTTTTCAGTCGACATTAGTGTACTTTTATAATATCAAACAGGGAATCCTACTTCTATACATTATTTAATAGGATAAAAAAGAAATATTTTTAAAACATTTTGATTACACAATACTTTGACACTTATTTCATTGAATAAGAAAATTATTTGAAAAGTCAACTATACATCTATGTTCTTCAATTCTAATGTAAAATGAAGACTAAAAAGTATATTGGAAATATTCTCACTCGTAACCAAAACCCACTATTATTTTAAGGAATTAGAATGGATTCCAATTTGATCACAAGAAATTTTTTACGGGGAATAGACTTGTGTATATAGAATACGAAAATATCACGTTTTAATAACGACAAATTGAGCCTGTTGATCATCGAACGACGAATCGTTCGACAAAGCGATTTTTTACCGCTGTTTTAGTCTGTATGTTCGTTAATGACTTCACATACGTAATTTACATTGTATACGCGACGCAATGTAAATGGTGTAATTATGGAGTTGCGACGAAGAAGAAATTGAACAACGGCTTTTCCTCTTTAATTGCCTCGATGCGATGTCACGTAATACGAATGCACATATAAGTCTCACTTAATGGCTATAAATTAAGTATATTAATTTATTAATTTTTTTATCGCTTAATATATTATATACATATATACGTGTGTGTGTAATAAGTAAGATGTAAATATATACACGCACATAGTGGCTCGGAAACTTACGCGACGTTGATATTTCTTGCCTTTTATATTATACAAATTCACGATTGTAGTGCAGGTTTTCCGCGTCATTATGACGGCGTAATTGTCTCATTTGTATACTGTACTTTGTACATATTCATGATCAACGAATAAAGTCACTTTAACAGGAGTGCCATTTAATGAACCTTCACTTATTTTTCTGTATTACTCTCGACCCGCCGATGTAAGCAACAGGTGTACTACACGTAATCTGGTAGAAAGAAGTTCGCAAAAGGTGGTTAACTGCCCATTGGAATCAGTACCATTGTACAACATAATGGCACGATATATTACACAGTAGTCACACACGCACGTGGGTATAGCTTGATACCGCAAGAATCACGTAAGAGGTATGGAAAGTAATTGATGTCTATTCCTTCATTATACGACCTTATAATATTATGCTGTATATTTCTATTGGAATTGAACAGCAATGTTTCACGTTACGTTGCACATCAACAGTATTTTTATTTTCAGTGATTTATTATTTGATACTTCACGCTTGTTTCCAATGTAATTTCTAAAATTGCACGACAACGATTTGTCGTTTTTTTATCTTAAATCGCTAATTTTCCAGGATACCACGACGAAAAAATCTGCACAAGCCGCATCAGAAATTAAACCCGTAATGCAGCCGGCATACATTAGCAAATTCTTTGGTAAGTTAAAGATCTCGTCTGCGGGGAAGAACTCAATGAGCAACATAGAAAAGAAACTGAGCGAGCCTTGGTGGACGCCTCCACAGTCTGTTGAACGGAAGAAACTCAGACGACACATGGAAGAATCCAATCAAGAAACATCACAGCAGCCGAAAAGATCTCTGAATCAACAAACTTCCTTGCAATTCCTTGCAAATAGATTGTCTCCTAGAGCCGAAGAAAATCAAAATTCAAATCTAGATCTTGATGTGGACGCGATTAAAATTACAACGATCATCGAGACCATTCGACGAAAAGTGCAACGAAGCGCTCGGACAGCAGAAGAAGCAAACGATATCTGGGGAACAATCGCGAAGATACGCTCGAGACGCTCATTACGTGAATCAGAGAATGATGACGCGAAGGCGACTGATGGTGCGAGGTACGATCAAGATCGACGGGAAGGATTTTTCCCGAAGACAAAACGCGCAGCCGACGCACGCGATCTCAAAACGGCGAGTAGCGCCTCCATACCGAGCACAGTGTTTTACAAACGCATTTGGGAGTACATCAACGGTACACGATCTCACTCCGACCTTACCAGCGGTTACAGCGCCTTGGAAAATAACTCCAACAAAACAGACAATTCAACATGCACCAAGCAAGATCCGATCGTCGTCTCGCAGTCGCGGAAAGGCGAGATCAAAGCAGTGAGTCCCACCATAAAAGCAGGACGAGAATTGTACAAACGCATCTGGGACATCATCAACGCGACCTCGGCATCTCATCAGGCAAGCCATGAGAAAGCGGTGGCTCGTCCCAAACGAGACGTGAATTCCCCAGGTAACACTTTCGCGGCAGTTTCGGATCGCTCATGCGTGCAAGATAAGATAGCCGTTCGCGAAGAAGACCAGCCAACGCCAACGACGATCAACGAAGAAGCTTGGCTCGGCCAAACGGACATTACGCAAGAAGTACCCGCTCCTGACCTTTATGAATCAAGATTTAAGGCTGTCGCGAATAAAACAGCCGAATGGCAGCCCAAAGCTGCGATCCCGGCGGTGAACGTGACGAGCTTGAACGACTGGACTATCCCATTGCGAGCGAACGAAACGACCGAGACTGCCGACCTGAACCAACCTGAACCGCGTTCAGCGCAGAATAACACCGATGACTCGTCCGGTAACAGTTCGACGGTGGAATACGCGGGCGAGGAAACGCGCGGGGACAAGCCGCAGAATCTCACCGAGACTGGACCGCCATATCCTCCCGGGCGCGAAAATTCCAGCGGCACGTCATTTTCATCCAGCGCGGATACGATCGATAAGGCTTCGCGTGAAGATGACCGAGCGCAATACGTGGAACACAATGAGACGGACAGTTCGTTGTATGATGCCTCGAATATACCTTACGTCGAGGTGCCTGATTACTCCGACCAGCGGGAGGACACTCTGAACAAGAGTAACCCGGACGCGGTCGAGCTCAAAGAGTACGATAATGGCGATTACGGCGATTACGTCGAGCCCGAGAGCTCTTATCGAGCGGGTGATGCCGCCTCCAAGTCGCCGAGCGACGAGATTCAATTACTTCCGGGTATTCCGGCGGGAAATGACGGGCAGGGAAGCTCGTTGGACGCAAGCGCCTCGCGTTCGCGCTGCATAGAAGGTCAGGATTCTGCGGAATGCGCGGGTAAGCGCCGCCATTCAAAGGATGCCACAAACAGCGACGCTCGGCGGCCACCGGAAGCGTCCGTGAAGCGCGAAGACGCCGCCGTCGACTTCGCGCCGATTCACTTCGACATAAACGAGTACAGAAAGCCGTTCAACCTGGACGATCTTTTCAAGAATGATCCCGTTTTCAAGCATACGTCCGCCAGCAAGGCGGAAACGAGGCACGAGGATGATGAGAGAAATGCCGATCGCGAAAACGGCACGAAGGAATCTGAGAAAAGCGATCGCAATGACGAGTCGGAGGAATCCGCAAGGGACGATCGCAAGGACGAATCCAGAAAACACGAACCTGCGTATCCGAAAGCAGACTGGTACAATTATTTTGTGAGGAACGCGGACTTCCGCGACGGCTCCGATGAAGCCACTTCCCAAGAAGACCAAAGCGGCGAGTCTCACGCGGAGGAGGAAGCGAAGAATGGCGAGACGATCAGCGGAAGTTACAATTCTCACGACGACGAAGACTTCCTCAGGCACATTTTCGGGAAGGATAACGACGAAGAGTCGCAATCCGACGTGGTCGATCCGGAGAACGAATTCTCGTCCCGCCACTTCACGGAGGACGTGCTGCGCCAGCTGCGCGAAAACTCAACGGCCACGGAAGATAGGAGACGAAAGGAATCGAGTAATAGAGAGGACGTTCACAAAACATTGTCGAGGATCTTGGACAAGAAGGATCGTTTCTCCAGATTAGATGAAAATCTTGATAAAATGATCGAAAAGGGTGAAGCAGTGCCAATCCGATACAACAATTTCTGGAGCCTGGAATACGAATCGCCCCGAAGAAAAAATAATGAGGAGGAGAAGGAAGAGGATAAGGAAGAGGATAAGGAAGAGGAGAAAGAAGATAAGGAATACGAATCGTCCCGTAGAAAAAATAATGAGGAGGAGAAGGAAGAGGATAAGGAAGAGGAGACAGAAGATAAGGAAGAGGAGAAAGAAGAAGAGGAAGAAGAGGAGGAAGCTTAGGCGCATGTCTGTTATCGCATGTGTTTTCGCTTCAAAGCGAAATGTAATATGCAATTAACTGTACTTGTAATTATTATGCTGTTATTATATTGTGTAATTAGAAATCGATTATTGTGTAATAGTATTTAGTTTATAGAATCGCTATAGTGCTCAATATCGTTGCGATGTAATTGAACGTTACTGAGAATTAAATATTAATTCTACACTGTTCTCAATTGATTTTACATTTTCATTTAAATAGATTATATCGTATCAATCATATCGTATCAATTATACGAATCAAATATACAAAAATAATTATCACAAGGCGGGTAACGGGAATATCATAAGCGAGTTTAAAGAAAATTAGATATTTTTTTCAGAGATACTAACACAAATAGACACGTTCAATTTTGCTTGTTTAAGGACATTTTACTAGTACAGTCTCTGCAAAAAGTCAGAAACACGCTAATATTTCTATTTTTCAAAACGTATGATGTATGTTGTATATAGGGTGTCCGGTAACTCACAGAATAGCTGCGATTTATAAATTAAGTCAAACAGAACAAAAAATTTCTCTACCATTTTGCAAACAAGTAAAATTAAAAGTAAAATTTTGAATTATTAATAAAAAAATTCGTAAATGATACGCGCCATATGGTAGATAATCTGTGATAGTGACGTTTATTGCTGTATGCTTGTATATTATGCTTGTATATTAGGTAAAATTGAACAAAAAAGTCTACCATTTACCGTTTCCTCTACCATTTTTCAAATGACTACGTAGATGTTAAGTTATTAATTAAAGAAAATTAGTGCATTATTGTGCACAACTGTATATCAATTTTCTTTAATTAACAACATGTACGTGCTCATTTGGAAAATGGTAGAGGATTCTTTTGTTCAGTTTGACCTAATATACAAGCATACAACGGCAGACGTCGCCATTACAGCTCAACTACAGTATAACGCGTGATCATTCACGAATCTCCTTTGATTAATAACTCCAAATTTTATGTGATTGTTCGCATAATGGAAGAAGAATTTTTTGTTCTATTTCACTTAATTTACTTGTACACCGCGACTCCTCTATGAGTTATCGGACATCTTATATATATGATACAGTTAATAATAATATATATCTGCTTTAACAAGTTATATCTACTATATATATCTACTTTAACAATATATATTTACTTTAACATTTTTATAGTATTTTTATATTTACTTTATTTTACATTATTTTCAACTTTTATACTTTTACCTTTGAACTGCAATGAAAGCTCTGCATATATTATTTTGAATATTTAAAGTATATACATACAATAATTGAGATTTTGCTCATTATTTTTCAGTTATCTTTTTCTTTACTAAAGATAGCAACATTATATATCTCTATAAACAGTACGGTTTAGAATATTTCTTATTTCCTAGTAGTAGGATAATATCAGATGACGTATCAATGACGTGTTAAAAACATTATTCATACGTCATTAAAACATTTTTTATGTCGCTATGTTTGCCTGGGTTTACCCTTCAAAGTAGAATAACTTTTAATCCAAACTCTGAATCAATGTCAAATTGTGATCACTTTTAGATACAATCTAAATTAATTTCTAATCTCTCTAAAATTTTTTTTATTATTTTTAAGATATGGGCAATAAAATCTTAATTCAGACATTGTCGACAAAAATTTAAAATATGTATGTTAATTACGTAGGATAAAACTCAATTATTGACGTTCCATTTTCCCAATTACTATAAAAACAACAAAATGCATTTATTTTTCTTGCGACTAAGATATCTGTTTTTTACGATTTTAATTGAGAAATTCTCTTTTGGAATCAGAATGAAAGCAAAAAAAGTTTTTCTAGTATGTCAATGATTAAAGAGAATGTCAATAATTCAATATTTTATCCTATGTTTTGATCCCATACGTTTGGACTCTCTTTAGCGGTACAAAAATCACAACAGGAAATAAATAAATATAATTTAAAAATATATTTATGTCTAAACACCGTTTTTGCACTGTTGAAGAGGATTCAAAAATATAAAGCCGAAACGTTTGTAACTTATATAAATATATTCAATTTATTGTAATATTTTTTTGTTTCTTAAGAAGATGACAAACTCCAAAAATATTGATAACGTAAAGACGATCGTCAAACTATCATGTCATAGATAAGTACTAACATAATTGCACTATTCTTTTCATATTTCTATTATGTATAGATAAGTAACATCTACGTAGTTAACATCTACGTAGTCATTTGAAAAATGGTAGAGGAAACGGTAAATGGTAGACTTTTTTGTTCAATTTTACCTAATATACAAGCATAATATATAAGTATACAGCAATAAACGTCACTATCACAGATTATCTACCATATGGCGCGTATCGTTTACGAATTTTTTTATTAATAATTCAAAATTTTACTTTTAATTTTACTTGTTTGCAAAATGGTAGAGAAATGTTTTGTTCTGTTTGACTTAATTTATAAATCGCAGCTATTCCGTGAGTTACCGGACACCCTATATACAACATACATCATATGTTTTGAAAAATAGAAATATTAGCGTGTTTCTGACTTTTTGCAGAGACTGTACTAGTAAAATGTCCTTAAACAAGCAAAACTGAACGTGTCTATTTGTGTTAGTATCTCTGAAAAAAATACTGTTTTGTTCTATCATATCTAGCGAAAAACAAAGCTTATATAGAAGTTCTTCTACAAACTTTCCATATATATTTTTAAGCTTTTAAGTCCAATTATAAAGGTATGTATATACTTTATACTATATGTTCTTTAAAATTTTCCTAAGCGCGTGCGAACTGCACAACTTTTGTGTCAGGCAAATATTGACTCTAACTAAGAGCTCTCAAAATTTCAATCTTGCAATTTTTTATTATTTTCACCACATATAGAGCAATGTTCCAATTCACTTCTGCACGTACTTTCATTGTAAATTGTGTAATTCTATACAATCAATACGACGTAAACTTCGTAAGAAAACGTCAGAATTTCGTCGGTAAAGTTTTTAAATACGGTATCCCCTGAAGATCGGCGTTAGCTTTTACTTGTCTTTATTATTAGAGGGGAGAGAGAGAACAAACATTACTGCAAACAAATATTCACTGCAAAATCTCACAGCAAGGAAAAGAGAGAAATGTTTTTATGTGATTGACAGATACTACTTATGTTTCACTTTAAAATTAAATTAATTTCTTGTAACTTCAATAAACTCATCCCGAACAGCAACCCTTATGCGCACCAGAGGATCGTGTTTAATAAACTTTTTCTCCAACTGCGAAAACTAACGGAACAGACGGCTGGAGCTGCAAAAACGCACAGGAACGATGCTTTGAGTGCAGGAAATGGAAGAATTGAATCTCGCAGAGAGATAAGCAGCGGGGTTTCCCTAGCGCGAGGGTTGAATCCAGCGTTTGCGGATATATAAGCCCGGCGAGGTCCGCTTGATGTCATTCGTCGGCTTTTAACAATTCCAACAGCTTCGCCTCCAACCTGCCGTGTACCGATCAGGTAAACGCACAAGATCGTGCCTCCGGCTCGTCGCCTCTCTCGAAACGCGCGTGTATTTCTCTCTTTTTTTTTGTCCATCTTTTTGTCGCGGCTGAGACAAATCCCGGGTTTTCCCGCCGAAATCCGCGCGTCATCCGCGAATCGCTCGGAGCGATTTACGGCATCGCCATTATCGATCGGATCGCGTTCTAGTCGATCGACGTTATTGTTCGCGCAATACGCTAACATCGATATCGAACTCCGTCCGCGCAATCCTTGGTCTTGAATCCTCAAGTGCTTCCTGAACGGCGAGAAAGAAGGGGAAACCGGGAGAGGGAAGAGAGAGAGAGAAGGGGAGGAAGAGGGAGAAAGAAAGAGAGGGAGAACAGGAGCGAGAGAGACCGACGACAGTACGGAAAGCAGCAAGATACCTTCCATCCATATTTATTATGTTTATATGTTCACAATGTGGCCGTTAAGGCGAACGCGGAAGCACGTCGGAGAGATTCCGGTTATAAATGGCCGTATATATAAAAAAGTGACCACCGACGTGGGCGACGACGACGACGACGACGACGACGACAACGATGACGACTACAGTGACGCGTTACTCTTATTCCGGGCGCGAGGCATGAGGAAAATCTGACGGAAGAACTTCGCCGTCACGTCGATAACAACGACGATGATGACGACGACGATGACGATGCATCGGCAGACGCCACGGCAACATATTTCCCGTCGATCAAAAGAAATAATTGCGCCACAACGCGCGCCGTACCGCGCCGTACCGCAGCCGGGCTTTCGTATGCCGATGGCGCGCGACCTCACCGGCGTAGTAAGACGTATCGCATCGCGTACGGTATGTGAGCGCGTGCGCTTAACGGGTTCTCTTTGAGTCCTTTGTCTTGTTCTCTTTTTGCCTCCCTGCCCGTCTGTTTTCGTCGTTTTTCAATCGGGACCGAGAGAGAGACACTTTTTCCTTTTCAACACCCGCGTTATCCCTGAGAGAGTTCATCGAGTTCTCCGGCCGTCTCCCTCTCTGTCCTTCCTCTCGGCTGAGCAAGCGCTAATTGCAAACCGGGAACGCGACATCGAGAGCGAGACTCGGGAGGATATCACTCGCGTTTTCTACTTCACTTTCGTGCCGTGGAGTTATCTTGCGTCGCGCGGGAGTGAGCTTTGTCGCGAAGTCGCCGCGACGCGCGAATGGAACACTCTACGGCTCTTGTGGCGAATTCGGCTCGTGAACTTCGTTCCTTCACCATCGGCCTTCCCACAAACTGTGAAGACTGTAAACTCGGAGATAACAACGTTTCGAGAGGGTAAAGAGAGGATAAACATTTTGAGCGTTGGATGAGAGTGAGTCTCGTGTACTTTTTCTTAGCGATTGTCTTCTCTAAGGGATCACGGGGATACCGCACACCCTCATGTTCGTTCACGCTTGGCATCGCGCTTCCTTCGCAACATTGTATCGCAAATGTTGTAACCACGCGATTCAGCAATACGTCATCGTTAATATTCAAACGATATGACGCAAGAACAGCTCCCGCGCAGAATTCATAACGTAGTTTTCGCGTCGTATTCTGTGTCGTAAGACACTGTGAAATTATTTACAGACGGTCACTTTCCCTCTAGATATCCGTGCGACGTTGAAATTTTATATTTTTACAATACCACATCCACACATTGCGCGTGTTTTTTTTATTTTATGCATTCCGAGTGTAAATAAACGTAATATGAAACAATAACTCCGCATATAATATATAAAACGGATTTGCAAAATTGAAAATATCGGGGCACCTCAACGAGAAATGACTCGTCGATCGACGAGTCATTTCTCGCTGGGAATGTATGTGTGTGATAGTGGATCTTAAAAATTTCATTCACATTATTGAACCCATATAGAGTCGTCGACAAGATGTTAACGCCTGCATTTGTTTTAGTCATGAACTCGTCAAACCGATATAAAATCATCGTACTGCTCGCTGTCGTCTTCACTGTTCTCTGCTTTACAGCAGCTACAACTTATGCCGAGAGAAATATCGGTGAGTATAAAAATGTCCCACATTTTACACGCAGACAAGTTTTCTCGAACAATGTAGTATACTAATAATAATTTGTAAGACTTGTATTGTACGACTAGGATACATATCTATTGAAGGCAAAATTTATACATAACAGCAATAAACGAATAATTTGATCAGATATATTTTCTAG